CAAGTTTGGCCATAACGTATAAGCTTTTGAACCATGGGATTTGAAATATAAATAACCAAAAATTCAAATATCATCTTCTTGACCCGTTCGACTTTTTCATAATTTTGACTGAGCCCCAAATCACAATTGTGTGATCGACCGCACTCTACTAACAAAGAATATTTCAACAATGTTTTAAAATCTAAGCTGAACCAAACGAATCAATCTCTGATTGATGTAGATAAGTTGGTGTATTTGTTCTATGTAAGTTTAATAATTTATGTATAAAACAATCTAAAAATCTTCCAACTTTTGTTCAAATAATGGTAAATTAAACACTGAGAACCAATCAACCTCAATGACTTTCTTAAAGTATTAGAATTTCTTTTTATGAGAAGCTCTGCACATCTATAAAACATATTATTGTATTTGGTCTTGTAAAATGGTTATAGAAAAATTAGGCCAATTTAGTGACGCGGCCAACAAAAATATGTGATATACAATTATTAGACGGAGTTTAGCCCTTATCAAGGCGGAGGATTGAAGAGTTTGAAGCATTGACGCAACCAGTGATGATACCGTGGCGACATCTTTTTTGAGCGGTCGAGTTTAAAACATAAGCGATAAACTAACGGCCAGAATCCGCCGCGACATTCGCGACTTCGCTTCTGGTGGCGCCCTCTGCAAGAAACTGACAAAACGTATTCACCAGTTGGAAATGAGTAATCTATATCTTGAGGTGTAAAGCATTTTATATATTTTACTGGTTTTGGACGTTTTTAGATGGTTGGGGCCTCCAGATGTCGACAGTAACCCGAATGTATTTGTTATAGTCTGAAAAGGTAAAAAAATTATACATATAGCAAACTATAATTTCGATTTAACATTTTCAATTCGTTTGTGTTTCTTGGGTTACATTTAGCGAAGATACATTAACAAAAGAACAAGAAAACTATTGTGGAGCGATAGCCACCGATTTTGGTAAATTTTTATTTTTGTTACTTATTTTTTACTCCCTTATAATTTTTATTACATCTATTAGATTTCTGATAATTTGAAAATGGCAAGCTTAGTCGTCCATGCTTACAATTTTTTATTCCAGATTTCGAGAAAAAGTTCAAAAATCGCAAAACTATTAGCCCTATATAACAACCGATTTGCGTAAGGAAGCTTGTGGTAATTTGCTTCTGTGTTGGCGGTAGCAACTATTTCTTCGTATAGGTTGGGCGTTTGACGAAAAATGTCAAGGATACAGAAGCAAATTACCACAAGCCTCCTTACGAAATTTGATACGTGCTTGAAGTGGCTGCTAAATTAAATTGACAATAGTCTACATCAACTATTATTTCCAGCAAACATACGAGCACCGAAACAAAGTGAAAAGAGCCAGAGTTCATTAGAGAACGAAATGCAGTGTTCGGCTGTTTGTTTCCCACAGCGAATAATCAGGGAACATAATTAAACTTTTTTTGCTATTTTAATCTTAACGAAAGAGCATGTATGTTTGAGGCAAAATGTAGACGTAGTTTCTGAAAATAACAACGAAATATTGTGGAAGACGATTTTACAGATTGAAATAAGGAAAAATTTTAAAGTGGGTAGAGAGTTTACTGTTGTCTTTATTTGTTTTTTATTTATAATTTTATCTATTTATCCGAAACCAGATACAGAACACGAACAATTTAAAACAATTACATACATAGGAGAACCTGGCGAAAAAGTTTCAAAACATTTGTCAAAATGTGGTTTAAAAATAGCTTTCAGAACTAACAACACAATAGGAAAATATTTAAAAAACAATAAATCGAAATGTCCAAAATCTTGTTCTAAAATTTATATTGGACAAATAGGTAGATCCTTCAAGAAACGCATTAACGAACATATAAGAGCGTTTAAAAACATTAGTCTAGATTCTAATTATGCTACACACTTAAACACAGAAAAACACATTTTTGAAGACAATTTTGATATATTACACACAGCCACAAAAAGTAGAAAATTAAATTTATTCGAAGCCATGGAGATTAACAAAATGAGACATTCAAATGTATTGCTTAACGATCAATTAGATTTAAATACCTCTCCTTTATGGAACTTAAATTCTCGCAACAACATTAATTAAGGTTTTATGGTCATTTTTCGGTATATATAGTAGCAGGTAGTTTGTAAATATTACATTTGATAAAGACAGGGTGTTGTCGAAACAATTGTCATGTCATAATATATAATTTCGTGAAAATCTGAACTTTTAGTTCTTATTTATTTTGATAAATAGATTTTCATCAAGTAAAAGTCACCTCAGTTCAATTGCCTTTTGGTATTTCATGAAGCCTATGAATACATCTTTGTAATATCTCCATAGTTGCCTAATTTGAAAGTTTATTTTTTTGTTTGTATACACTTCGCGGCAATTTCACTGGTTTAGTTTTGGTAATATACTGCACTATTGTCACTTATCAAAATTGCCACTCAGTGTCAGGTAACTTTTCGGGAATTTACAATTTGATTTGTGTAGCACATTGTTCTGGAAGGCACAAGACGACAGTTAAAAACTCTTACAGATTAGATAATTTTGTTCGACGTGCGTGATTCATAATATCCTGGTATCAGACTCCTATTCGATTATTTATCTCTCCTGAGTGTGACTAAATGTTATTAAAACGCAATATTGATTACTTTATAATTCGTTTTCTCGTTTATATCCTGTTGAAACGTGAAAAACAAATAAGTTCAATACAGGTGGTTAGACAAGCGGGATTTATGAAACCTTTTAGTTTATTTTTGATTTTGTTTAAATAACTGAAAATATTTTGGAAAACGTAAACATTGAATTTTCCATCATTCCTTTTGAAAAACGTTTCAAAATTTTCGCTTAAAAATAAATTGCGTGGTAATACAATTGGATACTCTGATTATTGACAAAAACTTAACGAAGAAGTGTGTTGTTTTAAATATCGGTTTATATCATCTGTAACAAAATGCCCATGATGTTTTCAATTTGTAAAGTGTCGATTCTGGATTCTAAATTTTCGACGGAACAACATTTCGAATGCGCCATTCCCTTTTCTGCCTGTCTTCGTCATCTGAAGAACTATCATCGAGTTCCACACCTTCTCCTCTTTTTTAATGACATAGTGGATTGGTTTTCGCGAGTACTTTGATTTTATTTTCTCAATAGTTTCATCAAACAGTATCTTAACATCCCTATAAGTTATATAGAATTTAGTTCACAATGTGCGTAACTTGTATTACATTTTTCTGCTATATCTTCCACAGCCCATTTCAATAATTAAATAAATAAACTAAATAATAATTAAATAAAAAAGTAATATCTCTCCAAAATCCGACGTATCTTTTTGACAAACTTACTCGTGGATCAGATATTCATTCGGTTAATACTCGCCATAAGGGGCTGTTTACCGTTCCCAAACATACTTCAGCACAGTGTCAGCGCGGTTTTACGTACAATGCTATCAAGGCTTACAACAAACTCCCTCTCCAACTGAGATCAATCACCTCGCTAACTTCATTCAAACAAAAACTTAAGCAATACATTTATCATAATAGAGGCCGATTATAAAACTAGTAACTATCAAATTGTATATACGTATTCCTTTTTTGAATTCACTCTAGCAGTGTCTACCATTTTGAATGAATGTCTATATAATTTATTTGCTATATTTTATTTTATAAATTGTGTCATATACTCGTTTTAGGGGGTTGCATGAGAACAACTATGTTGGATGCCGCCCCCACAGTTATATATTTTTGTAAGATATCTCTGTCGAAACCGAATAAAGGCTCTTTATTATTATTATTATTATAATCAAATTCAATATTTTTGATAGCTAATCAGTTTATAATTTCTTGTACCAAGGGGGAATTGGAGTGATTTCATGTCATCTTGGAGGACTGAAATGGACCTGGACGATTATTAGAATCTTATTTTTTCTTGAAGGCATCTTAATAATCGTTGACAGATTTTTCAAGAAAACTTTTCTTTGAATTACGCTTTTGGTGTCTTCATCGAGGGTTTTTACTGGCCTGCTTTTCTTGGAAGGTTCTACTTTCTTTCCTGCAATAATTTAAAAACGGCGGATTTTCGAACTGCATCATTCGGGAACAAGGTTCTTGTGAAAATCGCCATGATGAGGCAAACTATATACTAATATACCTATAAAAGTGCTACGGCAAGTATTAATTGCTTTGTCAGTAAATTACTATATCACAAAGGAATGAGAAGAGGTAATATCATCATGTAAGAGTAAATTGTTAAAAATAACAACGAAGCCTACTTACCTACGCCTATAACCGATACCGTTGAGCTGACGGGAATTCTCATTATTTTACTCTAGAGAGCTGTTTGCCAATTGTTATCCCATCAAAAATAATGACCGTAGATACTAGAATGAATGTAAAAAATGTAAAAATAAATTAAACGAAATTTTAATTTTGATAATATATTAAACCAAATTTAACCAGGATCTTCTATTAAATTAAAGGAATAAAATATCAGAATAAACCCTGAGCCGGTTGTTGGTATAAGAAATATGACCGGACGCACTGCCCAGTTGACAAAATTAACAAAATATACATGATATACAATTTATTTCAAATTAATGGAGGTCATATTCTCCCTATTCTGCCTTTATGATATTTTTCCCAGTTTAATTATTCTCCACCATTGATAATTTGACTTTGGCTACGTTTTAGTGGATTATGTAATAGAAGGTTCCCTTGAAATCAGTCTATTCATTTCACTATTAGCCAGTCTTATACTTCTTGGCATGTCGCTATAGATCATGAAAAAAAGGGTTGCCTAAAGGAATGTTCCCATTAATATTGGAACAAATTTAGAAATTATCGGAATATAAAAAAAAGGTAATTGAGTCATAATCCTCAATTTAAAATAATTTAGGAATGCATTGTCAACCGCGCTGATTGCGCATTTTATAGCAGATAAGATAAACTGTAGTATATAAAACCATTTTGTAAAGTAATTACCGAACAGTTGCCGAAAACAATGACTGCTCCCGTAGTGGCCATCAAACATGGTAAACTGCTTGGTGCAGTTAAAAAAAATTTTGACGGAGACAATTACTATAGGTTTTTGGGCATTCCGTATGCCAAACCTCCAATCGGAGAACTGAGGTTTAAGGTAAATTGGAATTTCTCCTGCTTCCTTATTTTTATACTTATACTTACATTATCTTTGCTTCTTGAAGTTTCGGTGTTTGTGTTCGTTTGTCTCGTACCCTTTTACGTGTTTTCTTAAAGTTTGCTCACACCTGGTATAAAAGAACTTAGAAGGCAGAATTAGGGTGGACAACAAATATAAAGTATCTAATTTATACTTATTATCTTTTTTGCAATTCTTTGGAAGTCCACAAAATTATTCAGGAGTTGACATTTTGATATACTTAATTTTCTAACTAAAACTAATTGAGTTGCTGAAAACTAATTTTAATAATCTTTGAAGTATATAAGAAGTAAAATATTTATTAAAATAATCTTCTGGATTGCTATGAACTTGCTTTGTTTAAATAATGTAACATACTTAATCACCGTAGGACAATACAAATATTGGTTGAATTTAAAATGAGTATCGTTTTGTCAGATATTAACAAAATTGTTTTCGTGGCAAGTTCGATAATAAGAATGAATTAGCTTTTGTAAAAGGATATGTTTTATTTGTTTCGTAAATGGTTTTCCACATTTTACTACTTAAATACTTCAATATTAATTAAAATTTTAAAATTAACCAACAAGCCAGTTAGTTCCTAAACTTAATTTTGAATGAAAAATTAGGGGATAATATTTGAAAACGAGTCCGGATGTATTTGGACTTCGAAGTTCAAAAGTAACAAAAATAAATAATAAATAAAAAAAAATAATTTAAATAAATAATTTAATTTCGATTCAAATTATTGTTTGGCATTATAAAAAATAAATTATCGTTTATTTGGAAAACTAACGTTAATTAATAACAATATGTGAAGTGCAAACGCGCTCCAAAATTATTTTTTTAGTTTTAAATTCATTTATTCATATTTTAGTTTAACTACGTAAAAAAAGAATGAATGAATGTATTTTTTCACTCATTCGATGATTAATATGACGAAACTGTTGGAACTCTCCCCACTACTTTCTTTTCAGAGATAGGGCTAATGTTGAAGAAGACAACCTGGCTAAAATATTTACAAGATCACGATCATTCCAAAAATATCTTTTATATTATATTTTTTTTTTGTATTCCCCTCTGTAAAATATCTAATTACACACCGATCTAGCGTGCGGAAAGCGTCACTTTACCACGTCAGTTTCGTTTTCCACGATTCCGAGCCACTTCGGACATTTCCGGGATTTTACCGCACGGATGTTTTCGGAGATATTTCCCACGCTTTGAATTTTGAAGTTTGTCAATTCTGACGGTCATGTCAGTGAATGTATTTGTGTTGTTGTGTGTTGTTGTTTTAACTCACTCGTTTATTAAAAACTTGCTTCGCTGCACTCCGCTCGTGTTAAATAAATTCGTGAGTCAAATGCCGTTTACCGCACTTATTGCATAATGTACTATTATTCCTCGCAGTTTGTCAGGTACATATCATGTTTTTGATGAAACTGTTTAATATTACTTATTATTTTAAAAAAATAAAACATAGCGTATCACCTTCCATTAAAAATTTCGAAAGGAATATGGGGTCGAAGACTAATATGGGTCTGATATAGTAGTTCACAGTCATAAATAGCATTATTTTGGATTTTAATATATTTTATATTCTGTGTCAATTGGTAAATTAACTAAAACCAAATTAAAATAACTGCCCTAGTTAGCTAGTTGTGTCTAAAATATTCATATCGTCTTCTCCTTTGTGTATTCTTAATAAAACTATGAATTAAATTTGTCAATGTAAAAATTCCGAAGAACATTTCAGGCGCCCCAACCAATAGATCCTTGGGATGATGTAAGAGACGCAACCAAAGATGGAAATGTATGTTACCAAATAAACCAATATTCAGGCCAAATCGCAACTCCGGCTAACGGTTCCGAAGACTGCCTTTACCTTAATGTTGCTACAAGAGAACTTCCTGGACCTGGAATAACGCCTAAACCAGTTCTGGTCCATATCCATGGAGGAGCGTTTACGATAGGCTCAGGAAACCAAGAAGGACCCATTGCTGAGTCACCGGAAATGATTATGACACAGGACGTTGTGTTCGTGGGATTTAATTACCGTTTAGGAATTTTGGGTGAGAAGAGATTTTTTGTAAAGGGTTCTTGAGTGTAAGCAATGAATAAAATTGAAAAGTCTAGCTAACTATTTGAACCAGACATTGTTTCTTAGGGTCGGTAGACATCTTCTAGGTTAGAAAAGACATAGAATTCAAAATATTTCAATGTTGATTGTGCCGGAAGTTGTCATTAACTTGCTCATTTGAAATTCCGGAAATAATGACCTTAAGAGCCCAAAATCGTGAGACAGAGCGGAACTATAGTTTCTTAGATATCTTGTCTTTTTTTTGAAAATTTTGAAAGTTGTGATATTATTTTTAACTCTGCATCTTATAGACCTTTTTACCTGTGGGTATTTTTTAACCTAAAACAGCAATAAAAAAATCTTGAAAAGTGAGAAAAAATAGCAACTCCATATCTTTTTCGCCACCTGCGATATTGGTAAAAGATAATCCCTAAACTACCATCTTTTTAAAAACAGGGCATCACTAGCGTTGATAAGAAAATATGAGAATCAATTAATTAATTCATTAAGATGCCGTTACTGGAGGCGTTGAAAAAAAAGTTTTAATATAACACGGTGCATTCTAGCGACTAAAAGATAAATAGATAGATAGATAGATATTTATTTCGCTTTTCGATACTACATATAACACATATATGGGTATATCAAGCACGTCACATCACATTAAAATACAGTGTTTAAACAATACATTTAAAAAATACATTAAAAAAAAATCATCTACTGAGTAGAGACACCTATCAGTTAAAAAGGTCTTAATTCTTTTGCAGTCCAGTCCGTTTTGGCTTGAAATCGTTGAAATTGAGAAATTAGGACTAAAAAATATTACAGTTACATGCAAGCTCTACGAGACGCCCGCATTCGTAAACAAAAATAGTGTTTTGTGTACTTTGAATTTGAAAATTTTTTGTTCGTCACAGTTTCAAAAATTATTTGAAATATTTGTCTTCAGAGCCTTCATGTTTAAGGAAGAGACTTTAACAAGCACTTTATGGCCTCTCAAAATGTTTCAAATATATTTAGGTTAGCGACTCGTGGTAATCAATTAAATAGTCGATGATTAGGTGTTGAAGGAAACCTAATTGTATTTTTTTCCATTTAAAAGGATTTCTTAGCATGGAAGATCCTTCCTTAGAGGTACCCGGAAATGCGGGACTTAAGGATCAAGTTCTAGCATTAAAATGGATTCAAGAAAACATTGCGGCGTTCAACGGGGATCCAAAAAATGTGACAATATTCGGAATAAGTGCTGGAGGAGCTGCCGTTCAGTTTCAGGTACATGCCTTTGCATAAGAATTTGTTTAACTTTTATGACGTAGCTTAATTTACGATGAATTCGCAGCTTCTGTCTCCTTTATCCAGAGGGCTCTTTCATCGAGCGATTACCCAAAGCGGTTCAGTTTTAAGTCCATGGGCTTGGGGATCGAAAAATGCAATACTAGCGGCCGAAAAATTGGGCGAGAGCGTAAAAACTGAGAAAGAAGCTTTGGAGATACTGAGACGGGTGCCAGTCGAAGAGTTGTTTGAAGCCCAAAGCAAATTGGAGGACGTAAGCTTATGCAACAAGTAGTAGATTTAGCTAAAAGAAATCATTATTTTAGAATATTGAAGATAGCAGATACCGAAGGCCGTTTTCTCCCGTGATAGAGACACCCAGCCCAGAGGCATTTTTAGATAAACACCCAGTGGAATTGCTCAAGGCTGGAGAGTTCAATCGGGTACCGTTAATCATCGGTTGTACGACTGAAGAATCTTTGACTGTGATCACCGTCCGTAAAGGAAAATCATCTATAGAACAGGGCATACCTTGGTACTTTGATCTGAAATCAGATAGTGAAGAATATGAGAAAGTCAGGAAAGAATTTATAGATTTTTATGGTCACCGCGATGCTGTTGATGGGTTTGTCTTCAAGGTAATTCCAGTTTCTTTGATTTGCCGAAAAGGACGTCGTTTTCATTTAATCGCTATTTTAGCTGTATTCGGATGCCATGTTTGTCGGGGCAGTTACAGAATTTGCTAGATTAACTGCAAAAGCATCTCAGAATCCTGTGTTTTTCTATCAGTTTGCAGCTTCGAGCGTCTTGGAAAATTTAGATGAAGCTCTAAGGAGTAAGCAAGACTTTGCCAAAGGCAAAGGCGCGTTTCACGGAATCGATGGTTTATATATTTTTGGTAAAAAACCGCCTTTAATAAAGTCACCCAATGATGTAAAAATTATGCGTAACGTTTTGAAAATGTGGACGAATTTTGCCAAGGATGGTAGACCAACGATCAAGGACCAACCAACGAACTGGGACCCGGTGACAGATCCAGAGAATCTGAGTTGTTTAATAATCGATGAAGAATTAAAGTTTCAGAGCAATCCCTTTGCGGACAGTACGGATTTCTGGAAAAAACTGTATACAAAATATGATCTTAAATTGTAAAATTATTGCCTAAACTTAAACTACTGCATTATTATACTAGTTTTCGATATTCTTGAATTTATAACACTAATAGATAATCATTTCCAAATACATTTTTAAAAATGAAAACTAAAAATTGATAAGTCCGGAACTTTTGTACAGCCGGATCCTAAACCTAATGCTAATGAGAAACCTATTTATCAATGTACCGGACATCTCAGTAAAACATTGATCTGGGTATTGATCATACTATTAACTAAAACAATGATGGAGCATTTTTTATAAATCTGGTCGCTTTTTTTGTATTGAAAACTTGCATCACTTTTTTTTTACAATAACCCAAAATTTTCTCTTTGTTAAATATAACCAGATTACTGCCCCCATTGAGTGTTGAAAATCACATCTGTTCAAAGTGTTCCAATTAAAGAAATTAAAGAAAACGCGAAAAAAAGTCATATGGTAGTGTTTCTTTAAAAGTTGTTATCTAAATGAAGTAACTAATTTTGTTACCAAATTCGACCCTATCTTTAGGATATCGGAATCTATAGTATATACGAGAATCATTAATTTGAGACAAAGTTTCTGATTTGAATATTTGGTTTTCATTATTCTAAAAATAATATTTTGCACTGAAGTTGATATTTACCTTACATGTTAAATCTGAAAGCGTCCTCGTATAGCTGAGAAAAAGTGGAAATATAAATGTTCTTAAACTTACTCTCTTCTCAAGTAACACAAGAAAAAAATTAATTTTTACTATTTCTCCAATATATAAAGATATTGGTATTAGATACCACTGGGAATGTTCTATTTACTAAACGGCATATTGTTTAAATTTGAATGAAGTTGTATATTCAGGTTGATTCGTTAAAATGTTTTCAGCTATGCGACGTTGCCCCTTCTATGAAAAAGTAGCAGCATCATATTTCATGTAGAATAGTTTTTAGAATATTGTATCTTTCACTTCAAAGTTACATTTTGATTACTTTTATATAATATTATCCATATTTGGCGGTTTTTGGTTCGGAACATGGCTCCAGTAAAATGTTTTTTTCTATCACATTTGTCCTAGTGATAAGATGAAATTTTTGGGCGCAGTATCCTAATAGTTTCCCAAGGACGTAGGTAGACAAAGTAAAGTTACTCCTCTCCAAAAATACGCTTAGTTCCGTTCCTCTTATGCCTCAAGAAACTCGTGAATAAGGAAATTAACGGTATGTTATGAGATTGCTTCCAGGTTTCATGGCTACCTAAGGCAAGGCAAATATGCCAAAATAATCCTATTTTTATTGAAACTGTTCTTTCGGAATTCAAGTATATACATCACTTAAAAATATTAATCTATCTGCACAGGAAGTTCACAATTTACTAAATACGTAACTATTTATTCTGTTAAAGATATGCAGGTAGTAAAATGGTGAAGAATTTGGTATTCATATGTCTCCTGAAAGACGAATGTTCGTTAATTTTAAGGTTTTTGCTTTCTTGCAACATTTTTGTCATAATTTGTTTAGGTACTAGTATTTTCCATTTGGCTAATTAGTGGTAGCTTTCGGAAAAAACTAATTTTAAATATTTAAAATCTGGTGGTGCCACACAATTGTGTTTAGTTTATAATATTACACGTTGCTTTGACATTTCATAATTTTTATTTGTTTGTTCGAGATTTCGTTATGAGATTCGACATTAAAGGAAAAGTTAGCGATATCATTGATTTAAATTGATATAAACTTAGTCACTCTGTGCAATGAATTAATAGATATACCCTGCCATTACTCTTTTTGCCAGGCCGTCTATAATAGGTGAGTTCGTCTAATCAAAACAGTGCTGGTTCGGAGTAGGAGTAGTTGTTTTTTGTCACGTGAGTTCGGAGTTAATAGATAGTAAACCATCCGAAACTCCTGAGGCAGAACATCAAACATAAATGTCAAACAGTTTTGGTTTTTTATTGTTTGTGTATTTCCCGAAGAGAACTAGTCTTTTGTGTGTTTAGTAATGAATAATAATTTAATATTTGTGCCTATGTTTAGTTTCACAAAACATATATCTGAACGACGAGGATATTGAAGAAGTCAATGTAATCGAAAAAAAAAAGAAAACTTTGCAGAAGTCAGGTGTCCTTTTTTAATTATAAATACTTTAGAAAACACGGATATGATTTATACATCTAAGTATATTTCAAATAATTGTCCCTGATGAGCTTCTTAAAAGTTTTTTATTACTAATATCCAACACAAATATTGAAAAAGTTCCCTACATTAATAAATCAATTTAATTTCTAAAGGAAACCGAAACCACAACAAGTAACAAGAAAAATCTAAGTGGAAAAAATGGTCAAGAAGTAGATCCTATAGACCGAACGCTCATTCCTTCACTGCAAGTCTAGTAAATATATAATTATGAAAAGTGCCGATGGACAATTTGTTTAAAAAATTGTAGCTATTGGAAAACATAACAAAGAAAATTAAAGACTATTATGAAACAAGTTAGTTTTGGAGAATTAATAAATTAATATAATTAGTATATTTTATTTGGTCTTTCAAAGAAACATCCTCATTTCTCTCGTTTCTAATATTGGGAAAATGGATGCTTCTTATACACCCCGAAAACATATTTATGGTAAGAACATTTTTGCAGAAAGTTTAGCTACATTGTTTATTGTATCACAATTTCAAAAACAAGCTTCAAAAAAAAAAAGATGACTAAAATAAGTTACCTTTCCAGAAATGCTCGGAATGTTTTAAAAGTGTAAACTTACATTTAAGTCTAAAAGGAAAATGTCCTATTAAAAAAATCTAGATACACACTCAAGACTGTGGTTTTGTAGACATGATTGTTTAATTATATTACTATTTTATATAGTGCTTTATTAACTCATTTTGAAGCTCACGGAAGATATAGTGCCCAACATTAAAAGAACAAACACAATGTAAAAATATAAATGAATAAATGGATTAAGTAATTAATAAGGCCATAATTGAAAAGAATAAAATACATTATTCCTTATAAACATAATGAAAAAATTTAAAAAAATATGCTACACTTTTTAAGGGCATACTAATATTTGTTTTACAATACGGAACTCATATTACTTGATCTGAGAGGATTACCACCTTTTGAAATTGCAAAAGAGGAGATGAAAGCAATAACAAAAATTCAGTTATAATACATTAAAATATTGTCAATTATTAGTAGAATAACTATAGTAAAAATTTCATAAACTGTAAATTCGAAACAAAATTTAAGTCAGCTATACTTTGCTTGTTGACAATATGTTCCTGTGCCTTAAATTAGTTTCAAAAACTGACCGACCAATCAAGATTTCTTCTTCCTAAGTTGTGCATATTCTACTCAAATTGTCCCGAATCCACCAAGGTAGTTTTTGATAGTACCTGTTTCTCTTTAATCAGTGTCAAATTGTATGTGTTTTTACTCCAGTATTCACTTACCTGCCGAGCCTATAAGTACAATATCCCAAATTGTGAATAGCTGCCAAAAATTTCTGGTACTTCCGAAAAATTTCCTGCAGATATATTCTTTCAATTCTTCCTGTTGCAGCTCAACTGATTTTGGTAATTCCCCACTTTTTTGCGGTAATAATTTCTGTAGTTTTTTGTACAATAGAAAGGCAATTTCGTTTTCGCTAAGCGCGATGACAAATGAAAACTTTCCAATACTGATTTTTACAATGATTTGTAGTTGACAAGGGGTATTTCTTATGCTTGTTCTAGTAAAAATTCAACTTGTAGCTTAATTATTTTCTTATATTCCTTTAATTAACACATATTACCCAAATATCCTTCCTGTAGCTATTTAAGTGTACCTAAAAATGTAGGCAATTCTGTTTAGTAAATTGAAATGTAAATATTTGTGTAGGTCTATTTTCCAGTTTGTTAAATGAAAAATATATAGGCATTTCAGTTTCTCTATATTTGCCACATTTGCTGTAATTTCGTGAATAAACAAAGTATTGAAGGCACAGCACATTCTTTTCCTTACAGTTTTGACTAGAAACACAAATGTTGCAGTGGGTGGGCATTTTTATCACAAAAATACGAAAAGCGTACGGAGATATTGACGCCTCTGCACGGACTGTAGTAATTTCTTCGCTCGGCGTTTCCTATATGTTCGGATTTCAGAGATTGATGTTGGGTCCTTATAAAAATTAATTAATTTTCGAGAAAAATGAAGACAATTCCACAACTCAGTCAGTTGGGGATCGACGCATCACATTTTACGTTAGTTGGGCCACTATGGTATCTTATATGTCAAATAGCAATACTAGAACGAATCGAGTGTATACGGAGTGACTCGGGGTACACGGAGTGAACAAGCATAACATATCCAATATAACTTTCAATAACACTTGAACAATATGTTTCTACATTGCCGTTTTTCGGCACTGTCAAATGTCACAGTGGATATTCGTGTATTTGCCGCTCGAGCCAGTGAGTTTTAGAAAAACGACAATTTTGACATGCAATTATTTCGCTAATGTCCCAATGGATTTTTTCGTTGTGTTGTGTGTTGGGAATGTAAACAGAAGATAATATAAATTGGAGAGCCAATTAATTAGCGTTTCATATTAAAACCAGATTAAACTGACATCCTAAGCTATCACTACCATGGGGCATTAGGCAGCTAAGTTTAGGATGGCCGCGGAGTGTCCCCAGGGAGCAGAGCTCCCTTCCTGTGGATACTACTGATGGATGATACTATTTATATACATGATGTTGGTAGAACGGCCTGGTCAAACGGCGGTGGTACACTTCTGTGAACAACCTGGGAGTCATCATTGATAAAACGCTCAAATGGAACTTTCATATTGAAGGTGCAATGTAGAAAAACGAAATATTACCGTGCACAAATCGAAGGCAAGATATAGGGATTGTGATCGAAACAGATGTATGACTGTAGATTATATATATCATAATGCCTGGCGGCGGAATAAGGGGCTTCTAGACAAGATCCTCAGACTGCAGAAAAAGCACTCCTATACAGACTATACTAGAGAGTTGCTGTTATAAAATCCAGTCAGCTGGTAGAAACGGTGCTAAAATACATATTTAACATATGCCAAATCTCCCCTACGAAGTAAATCAGTTAAGTAGGGACGAGTGTGCCCAGAACAGCACTGACCTAATGGCAACGACAGCTTTGATTCACAGACGGCTTCAAAACTACAGAAGGTGTGTGAGTCGACATTTACATGGAATATTCGTAGACGGATAAAAATCTGATTTGATTTGGTGAATTCCAGGCGGAAGTGCATGTCTTCGAGCTTTGTACAAGAATGCTGGTAGAAAAACAACTAATTCTGATCAAAATCAAATATGGTACTCAAAAAGTGTAGGAAGGTGTTCAGAGGCCCTTTTGTATCCATATTATGAGGAAATCGAAATAAGCAACCCGAGGAGCAAAACTGTCCTCGTAGAATCACTGCTCATGTTGACTATTTATTGCTAATCGGCAGATACGCTGGCCTCTATTATCGGAGCTAATCCAATCTGAAAATCATAATATATGGAACATGATCAAGAAAAATACTGTCGATCTCTGGCATGCTGAAAAATTAGAGTCTCAAAACTTCCTCCGTAAAATAACGCACTTCAAACTAGGTCTAAGTTTAATGCTGGAGGGATCAAAAATCTGATCGTGACAGTTAGTCTTACTAGTACTACAGACTACCTCAAAGCTCTCCCATATTCCTCTCTTCGAGGATTTGTTCCAACTTTTTGGAGAATCGCTTATAAGGCTGCTTTTGACTGGTGCTCATACCTTGTTCATTTCAATAAAAATAAAACAATCGGAGCTATTCTGCTGACTAACTTCACTGCAACCTGTGCAGACCAGTCAGTTTTCTCAATACCGATTAATTATTTGTAGCTCTGGAGCAAATTGATGGACCGAACGTTAAATTTCCAACATAGAAATCTCTGTGATTTATCTTTTTTCCTTAAATCTTTCGTATCTTTGGAATTTTATTTTTATAAATTAATTTTACCTGCCCACTGTAATTTATCTTCACAACTTACACAATCTCCAACAGCAATAGCGGCTAGATATGTCCAAATAAGGCGATATTCCTTTAATTTATATTACAATAGAAACTATATTTTTATAAAATTAGCTTTATTAAAAAAGTTATTCAAAAATATGTTTTTTTTTAACAACTGGAAATTGACATAACATGGAAATAAAAAATAATAAATGTAAACAATGCAAAAATGGGATTTCGGTTAAAGCAATCAAAAAACAAAACAAAAAGCAAGCGGTCAAAGTATTCCAATAAGCCTGACGTTTCACTTGAATCCAAAGTCTCAAAGGAGCCGGAGAGGCACGAAAACACCGAGAAAACAATTTGCCGGAAAAAGGGAAGAAAACGCAAATACTGTGTGAGCATGCAAGAATCGCTTTGACCAGGCGGTTTGAAAAGGAATTCAAGTACTCCGTATGTGTGCTTTTGAACTAAAAGTATTGTGACGATATACGAAATATATAGCAATTATTTCTATTTCCAGGAAACAAACAAACGAGATTACACAAAGAGTGAACGAAAAAAAGCAAGATTTTTTTTGTATTTTTTTTAAAGAGTTGGTTTTTAATTAGACTATCACGATTATTGGCACAGACAAATAGCTCCCAGAACTTAATATCGTAACTTCACATTAAGATTATGAGAGGTGATTTGACTCCTACCATCTTAAAGGCTAAATGGCTCTCTTGTAATCTTGTTCAGAGAGATATCGAAGTACCACATGGTTTTCGTCTTGACCCTCGCTTGTTCCTAACTTGCTTTAACAATATGAAATTATGCTTCGGACATTGTTAAGCTGATGACTTTTTTAAAATAGGATTAATATCAGATTGTGACTGGGACTTCAAAAATCACATTTCGTTTATAAATTGAGCACTACTTTTTCAATAGGGTTTACTATATTAAAGATTTGGGAGTCCTGTTGACCAACAATTTGATTCTATTTGCAACGAAATTGATAACAGTAAAAAACTTCAAAATTAACTTTTCAAAATAGACTGCGTTTGTGGGAATTGGTTTGTAGATAGATAGATAGATAGATTTATTGTTAACTATTTTTGGTACAAAGTACATTATAGCAAGTCAGAGTAATAATATTGTACAATATTAAAAATACAGTTTAAGAATAAAAAGTAAAACAATTAGATATAAACACTACGTTACAATATAACAACAAATATAAATAACAATACATTTTAAATACAAAAAAAAGAACGAAGAGACAAAGATAAAAACACTAAAAGAAGTAATATACATTTCATAAAGTACGTTTAATTCCTTTTTTGTCGAAAACAAAAATTGCTATCAAGGTATCCTTCTGGCAGGTATTCTTTTATTGTTGTTTTAAATTTTGTGTTGGAGAGCATTTTGACAGGTGTAGGCAGTTTATTATACTCAGCGTAATTCAAGGAATTAGAAACACATTTCGTGAACTTATGTAGCGGATTAGTGATCAAATCAAATCTTAAATTATAAGAGTGGTTTTTACTGGTGGATGGCAAATTTGATTTTTTATGATGAATTTCTATTACAGTAAAATAAATAATTGTGCACGGCAAGGGCATAATTCTGTGTCTCAGAAAGAGGGGCCTGCAGTGGGCCCGATAATGCAAACCACGCGTAACCCTAACTGCTCTCTTTTTCAATCTAAAGATGATCTGTGCTGCGGTACTGTGTCCCCATAAGGGAACTGCATAAGAAATTTTTGAATGATGGAGTGCAAAATAACAAATTTTAAGGGTGCCAAAGTTTATGTAGGATCGAAGTCTTCGTATCAAAAATATTAAACTAGATATAGTTCTAGAGAGTTCATCGGTATGTTGTGACCACGATAATTTGTCATCCAAACTGAGACCCAAAAGCTTTACACCGTTTCCCTCTGCCAACCTCGAATTGGTAGGTATTTTTAACGTTTGGGTTTTATCTTTCCGAGGCTGTATTACCGGTGCTTTGAGCATGTGAGTGTTTTACCTTATGTAGGTTGCTAGACTTACCTAAGAACCCTCCTCCTTTATCCGGGCTTGGGACCGGCAGTGACAACTGTGAGCTACTCACTCCACCCACAGCTGCCCCAGGCAGAGTTGCAAAATTTGGGATGCAAAATTACAAGCTCTGGATTCCTGGAAGAAGAAGTAAGGAAACAAGCCAATAAAGCTGCCACAATATCAGGATATCTTAAATATCCCATATGGAAAAACAAACATTTGAGTGCAGAATGTAAGTCAAGAATATACAAAACCTGCGTACGATCAGTGATGACATATGGTGCGGAAACCAGAGCTGAAACATCAGTAACAAAGAGAATCCTACGAACTACTGAAATGAAGACCTTAAGAATGATAACTGGATACACATTGAGGGACAGACAGAGAAATGTAGACATGAGAGAAAAGTGACAAACAAATGACGTTGTCCGATGGATAAGGCAAAGAAGAAGAGAATGGAACCAGCATGTCAGTAGAATGGGCCCCGACAGAATGGCCATAATAATTCGCAACAACGTACCCCATGGCAGAAGACCTACTGGACGACCACCTAAACGTTGGCGAGATAGTTGGCAGTCAACCTCGCAAGAGTTGCTTAGACGAGGAGGAAACCGGAACTAAACAGGCGATACGCATTCTAAAAGAGGAAGAAGAAGAAGAAGGGTTTTATCTTTGTTTAAAAGAAGATTATTGGCAATAAACCATTTTTCAGCTAAATCTAAAACGTTCTTTGAAGTAATGGATAGAGTTTCAATGCTGGTACTAGAAGTAATAAATGTTGTGTCATCCGCGACATCGTTGTTTGTTGTTTACACACGTAAACAACAAACAACAGCGGAAAATGGAACCTCGCGGTACTCCAAATTTTAGTTCTTTAGCATTTGAAAGTTCGTTATTAAAATAAACCAGCTGGGACCTATTTTTAAGATAATTTTCGAGAAGTTTTAAAGGCACACCCCTTATGCCATAGTGTCCTAATTTTGTCAATAGAATGTCACGAGAGACGCAGTCGAAGGCCTTGGACAAGTCGCACAGTGTTATGATACTGTGCAAGCCCGCATCAGAACCCTCGACGACACTCTCCAAGACCTTTAATAATGCCTTTGTTGTTGAATGTTCAGCCCTGTAACCAAACTGATCTTGGCTCAACAATTTATATTTTTCAAAATAATAGATCAATCTGTGTTTTAGAATTCTCTCCATTACCTTTCCGAATAAAGGAACAATGCTAATAGGACGGTAATTATCGACATTGTTTGGATCACCTTTCTTCAAGAGCGGTAGAACTCTATTAATTTTGAATTTAGAAGGAAAATACCCACAAACCATAAATATATAAATAATGTACTGAGCATCTAATTTGCGTTTAAATAATATCTATCTATTTAATTCTCAGCTGACGCACTACATCCACAAACTCCTCCATTTTTAGTTGATCATGCATTAACGATTTTGTAGCCTACTATTTTTCGTTTATTTTGAAACTTGTTCATTTTTGTGAAGCATATTGTGCAAAAATAAGTTAAAAAACATATGAAATGTTATATGTTTTTTAACTTATTTTTGCACACTGTTTTTTATTCTATCGAATAATATTGTGCGGCGATTATAAGTTATCACCCAACCCAGGTTGTGAGGCATTTTCGGTTTAGAAGCAAGAGAGAACAGCCGTTGGTAAAGGTGAACAGATTGAAAATGATATCAAAAGTGGAGTAAGTTTATTTGAAAAATTTACTTAGGTCAAATTTTGAGGTCTATAGATTTGCATAAGGAACAACACCACTGATCTAAGTTAAATTATTTAGTAAGGCACCTAACTTTGTTTTGGTTAGGAAGCGTTAATTAATATAATAAGAATAAGAAATTCCAGTTCCAATTAGAAGCTAAGGGTATTAAACTCTTAAACCATAATTGCGAATAATAGGATATTGAACATTTTGTGACTGGCGAACCAAATCCAAGAAATTTGATTGTGCGGGTGTAGGAGAATGCCGTCTATACAGAGAATAACTTGAATAATGAGCGAATAAATATGCAATAATCAACTTATATAAAATAATAGATAAATTATTAGCAGTGTGTTGGTCAATAGTATATAAACAGTTACTGCCTTCATAGATTTGGAAGAAATATATTTCGAGTTCCGTTAGTTCTGGTTAATCCCGTTTGACGAACCTAAAAATTCATTTGAGAACGTAACAATATTTATGATTTATTCTGTGGATAGCAATTTTATGATTTAATACTCATAAGTGTTTATATGTGCCCCAATGACATATTAACAACCCCAGTTAAATTAAGATTGAGCTAACCACAGTAAATTTGATATAACCGGAAGTTCACTTTCAAACGTGTTTATTTAATTGAAATCGATTTAGATTTTCTTATATTTTGCAGCACCACATATTTGGGTTAATTAAAAAATACGTGCATACGTATGAAGTTGTGCAAACAATTGTTTTTCTAGGACATCGGCAAGAAAAAGTAATAATCTCAGTAGCGGATTAAGAATGTGTCAGTAGAAAATAAAAAGCAATTTTATAACACAGCAGGAAAGAATTAAATGTTACTATAAAATAATGGAAATAAAGAAGCAATATCCTCTTTAAAAAATGTACCATAAACTGTATAATGCAAGACGTCCCAAAACCGCCGGACCAAATTTTAAAATGTCTCATAAATTGGCAGGACTGGAATTTTTGATAATTCCGTAGAATTTGTTTATATATTTCGAAAAGTAAAATATGAATATCACGTATAATACTTTAGCTTTATTGGTAATTAATATCTGTTTCGCTGAAAAACTTTATATTAGTTTTTAAATTTGATTCTAAAGGAAAGCAGACATTGTTTTAAGAAAATTTAATTCGTATTAATATTTTCAAATTTCAAATGACAAATATTATTTTTTTAATTTTATTTAAAGTTTATAAATGGCGAAATCTTCTCTAGCGACTACTCATATTTAACCATACATGATAGAATCTCGCTATATTACGAAAAAGAAGAAATATTTGCGTCAATATAACTGCTGTACCCTACACTTGTTCTTCTTAAGTCCCTTGTCACATTTACATTCACATTCACATGCTAGGTCAAATGGTAAGCTGGGGTTCATGCTAAAACAACCTCCCAGGTTATTTAACCTTATCTAACTTTCTCTTTTTTAATGATTTCGGTGTTTTTGTGGAAGCCTGAGACTATTTTGAAGTCAGCAAAAATTTTTCCCCTTCCATTAAACTCTCAATATGACTCTGTAAGAATCCATTTCAAAACCTTGCAAACGCTCCATTATCCTTATGTAAGTAGTTTAGGCCTCAATACCACACAGAAGAACAGGAAAAACTCAGAAGTGTAATTCTTAAGAGACCAGAGCTGCTCAAGTCGTGATCTCATTTCATGTTGACTGTCCCAATTTTTTGTTAGAGCACACTCAAGATATTTTATTTGATCGACTTGCCGCAGAACTTTCTATCCCTTTAACTGAGATGATAATTATTAAGTTTGATTAATTGGTTGATTACTAAAGATTTAGTTTCTTTCATATTATTAAAAGTTAAATCAAACTATGGCAAATACCCACACGACTTTGTTCATTCTCCATTAGTGTATGCTAAGAGTACCGCGCCATTTGTGCACTGAACTTGTTAACGACTTCCTCATTTGTACTGATTCCTGTTGATACTTGCGAAAATGTTTCGATAAAAATTTTTTCGCACTCTTCTTTCTCATTCTTTTGCGTTAGTGTATGGCAGTTTTGTTATATAGGAATTCTCTGCCTTTCGAAAAGTTATATTATATGAAAACAGACATTACAGAAAACAATCAGGTATATCAATTTCACGTTAAGAAAACTAACCAATAATGCAACAAATGCAATCAATAATACGGCAAAGTTATAGTTTGTTTATCAACAAAGAACGAACGCTATAGGGATATGACGAAAATCTTTCGAGTCCGATACTGAATGCAACTGGAATTTATAATAAATTAAGTAATTTTGTTGTTTTCGAGCCAGTTAGCCGCGACAAAATGACTGAGCCGATTGTTACGGTCAAGCAGGGCATTTTGCGAGGCAAAATTGCAAAAGATTTCGATGGAAACAATTATTACAAGTTTTTGGGTATACCATTCGCTAAACCACCTATTGGAAATTTAAGATTTAAGGTAGGCAACATTTATGGTTTTTTAAGTTGTGACTAGATTTAAACATACGTATTGCTCGATTTGTTTAGCGAAGAAAACCTTATATTTGTTCATATTCGCTATCCCACATGCCAAATAAAAAATTATTTATTATTCATAATTGTTAAAACATACTTTAAAATATACGTTTCGTACTTCTACAAACAAAGGTAAACGTCTAACGCTTCACGGCACGACAAAAATACGCATCAGCGGTTAATTACTTAAACGGTTAAATACATAATGGACCAAGGCTAAACACACAATTGTCGATTTAGGCTCCGGAACCTGCTGGACCATGGGAGGACGTCAGAGATGCGACCACAGATGGAAATATATGCTATCAAATGAACATACTTACCAAGACCGTATCTGGTTCAGAAGATTGTCTTTATCTTAATGTCGCTACTAAGCACCTTCCGTCAGAAGAAATTTCACCAAGACCGGTAATGGTTCATCTCCATGGAGGTGGATTCGTCAGCGGAACGGGCAATCAGGATCAGGAAATGTTCGGGTCAGCCGACTACTTGCTAACGGAAGATGTGGTATTTGTAGGTGTTAATTATCGACTCGGTATTTTGGGTAAGCCAACGCGCTTAAGTATAGTTTTCATCTTAATATTTCATGAATTCTAATAAATCAAAAATCTCTAAATTTCGAGTGTAATATGCCTATACGCAATGCGTTTGGGTAAATATTCTATAATTCAAAACAGTTGAAAATGTCTTGAAAACACATCTAGCAATTGCTAGAAGTACTTGGTTAGTTGGTTAGTAGATCTGTTGCGACACACTCCTAAGTAAGGGGTGTTTTTTTTCGATGTATAGAACTTTAAGTTGCAATAAAACAACGATGGATTATTCGATTGACATGAATTTTATTTATCCGAAAGATAATCTTGTGGCATTACATTTTAAATATGATTTCTGGCATATGAGCGCCACGGCTGGCGCGGATGTGGTCCAATCTGGACGTCCAATTTTCGATGGCTTTTTCCAACATTTGTGGCCGTATATCGGCAATAACACGGCGAATGTTGTCTTCCAAATGGTCAAGCGTTTGTGGCTTATCCGCATAGACCAATGACTTTACATAGCCCCACAGAAAGTAGTCTACCGGTGTTCAATCACAAGATCTTGGAGGCCAATTCACAGGTCCAAAACGTGAAATTAGGCAGTCACCAAACGTGTCTTTCAATAAATCGATTGTGGCACGAGCTGTGTGACATGTTGCGCCGTTTTGTTGAAACCACATCTCCTAGTCATCATGATTATTCAATTCAGGAATGAAAGAGTTAGCAATCATAGCTCTATACCGACCACCATTGACTGTAACGTTCTGGCCATCATCGTTTTTGAAGAAGTACGGACCAATGATTCCACCAGCCCATAAAGCGCACCAAACAGTCAGTTTTTCTGGATGTAACAAAAAACAAATGCGACAGTTTTGTTTGTTGACGTAGCCATTCAACCAGAAGTGCGCTTCATCGCTAAACAAAATTCGCTTATGAAAATCGGGAACAACGGCAATCTCGTTTTGGGCCCACTCGACGAATCTACGCCTTACACTTAACAGCTGTTAAATCGGTCGCCATCTTGAACAGTAAGGCCAACTTACAGTTCTATACATCGAAAAAAACACCCTATATATCATTTTCCCATGGTCTATGTGTGGGATTTTGATTCCCACTTCCAACTACATGAAGCTTCCTGCGGCAGGAAATTTGTCTGCCGTTTCTCCATTCTCCTAGCACAACGGTAGTCATTGATCAGGATTTTAAAGCGGCGCAAACTGTTGAAAACACCAGAATTGATCTAAAATCACTCATTGAATTGGTCTAATGGTCCATGTGATTGAAATTTTCTGATTAATTTAGAATTTTTGCAGGTTTCCTTAGCCTGGAAGATGAGTCACTCGATGTTCCCGGTAATGCTGGCCTAAAAGATCAAGTTCTCGGATTAAAGTGGGTACAAGAAAACATCGCTTTTTTCAACGGTGATCCCAACAACGTTACTATATTTGGAGTGAGCGCTGGTGGAGCCTCCGTTCAATTTCAAGTCAGTCACACTATTATACTAAATATATTGTTATCACGTAAATTGTAGATACTATCACCGCTTTCTAAGGGTTTGTTTCATAAGGCTATTAGTCAGTCGGGTGGAATTTTAAACCCATGGGCATGGGGATGCCGAAACAACGCCATAGATGCTGCGAAAAAGCTGAACCAAGGCGTAAAATTCGAGGCGGATGCTTTGGAAGTTCTACAAAATATCTCAATCGAAGAACTATATAAAACCCAACTACAATTTAAGGATGTAATATTATATTGCGACCAACGTTTCTCAACCTTCTGTTATGCTGACCCATTAAACAATCAAAAATCTATCTTTGTGGCTTGTATAGTTTAAATTGAAGTCTTTCGTGATATAATTTTTAATTTTTAAAGGTCCCTTTACATGCTTACGAGGAATACAATGGAGTATTGTAATGTGACGTTTTTTCATGCTGAAAGAAGAAATTTAGGCGGGAGTTGCCGCATCATTTTAATTTTTTGTGAGAATTTTTGAATACCTGTCTAGTGTCGTTGCCTCAAGATGCAAACGCAAATTTTACTAATGAGAGAGCAATCTGCTTTTTATGAATGACAGCTACCTCTGTGCATCAAGTTAAGAACGAAGATAAGACACTATTGGAAGATAAACTTCCTAATTAGTTAAAAAAATGTTAAACTTATTGAAATCTTAAAAAGTACCCAATTAATACCCTCCAAATGTAGTGGGACATTAAAGAAGTTAGTAATTCAGAAACTGGTAAAGATATCCAAAATGGGACAAAAACAATGGAGGAAATCCTTTTCGATTAACTAAAATTTAAATTTAATTTTAAAATATCCTATATTTATCATAGCAAAGCAACAGATTGAGAAACGTTGTATTATGCGAATTTTGTCGCACGGTATGTAATTTTAGGACCTCTTGGAGATGAGAGCAAGAAGACCGTTCTCTCCTGTAATAGAAAAATCCAGCCCAACAGCGTTTTTATCTAAGCATCCCTTAGAAGTTTTAAAGTCGGGTGAGTTTAACCAAGTGCCAATGATAGTGGGTTGCACGTCTGAAGAAGGCTGGAGGTTTGATACGTTTAAACAATCTCAAAGTTGCATTGAGCAAGGCATTCCTTGGTACTTTCACCTGAAGCCCGGCACTGAAGAATACGAAAGAGTCAACAAATCTTTCAAAGCGTTTTACGACGGATACGAGTCGCGTGATGGTTTCATTTATAAGGTAGATATTGCCATATAAGTAATTCTTTCATCTTAGCATGTTTTTGATTGCAGTTATACTCTGACGCAATGTTTGTTGCTGGTATTACAGAATTTATTAAACTGGCAGTTCAGAAGTCGGCGAATCCGATTTTCTTCTACCAGTTTGCTGTAGATAGGGAATTGGCCGACTGTTTAGGTATTTTGCTTAACTTGAAATATGAACCAGGTAAAAATTACTTTGACTGTTTTTAACTACTTTTTAAGTGCAAAAGACTGGTTGATAACTGAAACGAACACCGGTTTTAGGAAAAGGTGCATCTCACGCTGCAGATTGTGCTTATATGTTTATGCTGGTGGGTCACCCAGTGAGTGATCCTACCGACATAAAAATAATGAGAAACCTGGTGAAAATGTGGACCAATTTTGCCAAATATGGCGCACCAACGTTGGATAGCTCGCTAGTCGATTGGCAACCAGTGAAAAGCCCAAACGAACTGCCGTGTCTAAAAATTGACGAGAATTTATCGTTAGTTCAAAATCCATTCCAAAAGAGTGTTGAATTATGGCAAGAATTGTTCAGCAACTATTACCCGAAGCTATATTAGGAATAAAAGTTTTCATGAACACAAAATATACGGTTGACTGTTTAATTTCTTCTTCATGTCTACAACTTAATCTTCTGTCCGATATCTAAAAATCCAATTAATATTTACTTCACCATTATAAATTCGTATTAAATTATGCTTTATTGTGTGGTATGAACTCTCTTGTTATAAAGTAAGCCAGAAATTGTTTCGTAAAGCTTCTGTGTAACTTCTGAATCAGCCTCGATCTACTACTAAGGTTTTTAACAGAGATATTCAACACTAGATTAGGATATAACGGTATCACGGTATATAATTTAGGGAATTGCTTTATTGCTCTGCTAACCAGATCTCCGGAACTAATCGGATAAGCATGGCAACCAGAATTTGCGCTAAAGTTTCCTTTTGTTCTTTGTATATCTAAAAACTCAGAGCAAACAAGCAATTTTTTTAAAATAGGGCTTCTTCCGGTTATCAAAATTCAGAATACTAATTTAACTAATTTAGTCGACTGCAGTAATAAATAAAACTCATAAAAACGCATTGTAGAAACTAGTGGTATGGAGTGGCAGAATCTACAAACTATCGCAAATGGGACGGCACCAACTTCAACAGCAGGTTGGTGGTCGCTTCACCTGGGGGTAGCTTCGTTGGCGCAACAAAACGAACACTTTAAAACCCGTTGGGCTCGAATCGAATTGAAATTAAAGAACAACAGAAATAGAGAACGAGCATCAGTTGCAGGAACGCCGTCTGATGTCGACACCTTACATATTTTTAATTCGCTACTTTGAAGCTCTAGTATTTGTATTGTCCCTATTTAACTGATAGTGTCAATGATAAAAGCTATTATTTCTTAGTTGAATGTTAGAATCATCCAGAGTGTAATTTTTTCTATTTAGACATTTCGACATTCTTCAATGGTCGTTTGAAAATATTCTCCAAGAATGGAACATGTGATTGATTAGTAGGATTCTTGAGAGGTTAAATTAACACGGATTAATAGCAATCCGTTTATGTCACTACCAAAACTTCTATTTCATGAGGACCTGTGATGATGATGATTGAAATGCAGTCCTTAAACTGTATCGATTCACCATCTAGGAGGAGGAGTATGAGGGATGGCAACTCTAGCATTATGCGAATGCTAGATGCATTTTTTCATCGTAAATTATATGTTAGGCATGAAGTTATTCGCGCTACCCCTTGGGGACTACGAAAAGTTCGCTGATTGGTGCAGAACTGACTGTTGTATTTTCCTCCCTAATATCGATGATTGGAAACAGTTAATTTATCTTTGAGACTGGACTAAAGCAGCCTAATGATGAATTAAGGTCAAGTAGTCGGGTCGGCGAATGGAAAGCAGCAAATCAAAAAACGCGTCCAGAAGTCAGAAAACCTCACACTGCGGTGGGTACTCCGGCAACTAGCATTTAGGCAGCTATATTTTACCATTCTCGTATATTTGTATTGTGTATGTATTTAGTATGTAGTATATGGTACCAAATTAAACCCGTGAGTAGTTTATGCATGTGTCGTATACTATACTTTTCCTACGACTAATAGTTTTCGGGGACATTTTTCCCAAAGAACACGACTCCCAAACTCGTGATTAAAGTATCGAAAACGGCCGAAGTGGTTGATGCCCGTAAATAATGACGCTGACGTACGTCAGGTGATCTAAACAAACAGAAGAGAGCGGTATTGTAAAAGTAGGGCAAAAGCGCTACGAGACTGTCGGAGTCGTTTACACCGAACGTCTGAACATCCGAGCTATCCGAGAGAGTTAACGAATTTTGAGTGAATGAAAAATATCTAGAGGATGTGGATTTTCCTATTCTCCATCATAATTGTAGATCGGCAACAACGAATTATTGGCCCCCAGTTGATGCTGCTGAAACATCCACGGTGTAGGGGAAGTAGAGAAAGTTGTCACGTATTAGCCGGGAATGCCGCGTCGTGGATGAAATTTCAGTCCAGTCCAGGAGGTTCTGCTTGCAGGGCAGGGTAGTTTGGGGGTGACTAGTAGGTACACTAGGTAATTCACACGAGCACCGAGTTGTATATTGATGATAACGGTTACTTAATGCCCGACTGAGCTGGGGATTGCTTCGTGGTGCGCGGCTATAGTGTATTAGGTAACTGATGAATGTATCTGCTAAACGCGTACTGTCACTGCTATCGTTTTAGGAATTCACTTGAGATTGTATGTATTTGTTTTGTACAGCGCACAAGGATGGAAACAAAATATTTCGGTTTGCAATGACTGAAATCGCAAATTTCCCTTGTCCAATCTTATCTGTAACCATGCAGCAGACGGTTCCTAATTTATAATAAAAAAAGGCGAATGCGCAAGTATTTAAATTATTTACATCGGCACAATTATCGTGTCTCTAACTAGGTTAGTATGATGATTTTTTAAAATGTTAATTTCGATATTGCTTGGAAGATGATTTTATGATATATTTATATGAACTATTCTATTTAAAATTGGCCAGAGTTAAATTTAAAGGAAATTCGGAGGGATTTATTTAAACATAATTTATCAAATAAACGTTGGTTTATCAAAGTCCGGCACTGCCTTTAAATAAATCTATCTGGTCGGCTCGCATGTTATGTGTTGGAAATCGATTGTGCGGTAGGATGAGTGAACCGGTAGTAACTGTGAAGCAAGGCAAATTACGTGGCAAAGTGGACAAGGATTTCGACGGAAGTACGTACTACACATTTTTGGGAATTCCATTTGCGAAACCACCACTCGAAGATCTAAGATTCAAGGTGGGTAATGTCCGATTTAGCAGAAGACCGTATGGCGCAAAACTGATTTGTTTCTCCCCCTTAGATCTCTATTGATTTTTACAGTTTGCATGGAATTTAAACCTAATTTATGTATATGAAAGCAGATGTGAAAATAGTATATTATACAAAAAGGCATTTATTTGACTTACGGTAACGGTGACTTAAAAAGTTTAGCAAACCTGTTGCATACTATACTTTTTCTATGACCGCTAGATTTTGGGTACATTTTTTGGAAATAACACGAATACATTTCACTAACATGACCGTCAGAATTGACGAACGTCAAAATTCAAGTCGTCCGGTAAAATCTCCGGAAACATCCGATTATAATATGCCGGACATGTCCGAAGTGGCTCGGATCCGTGTGAAACGAAACTGACATGGTAAAATGACACTTTCCGCATGCTATATCGGTATATAATGGGATATTTTTCATAAGGGAGTAGAAAAAAAAACAATTACGGAATCTGAGAGAGACAAATAATATTTTGTTTCCCAGGAGCGGACGTCTTATTAATTAAACTCAAATTGTCAAGTCATGTAAGGACAAAAACAACGAGATATCAGTGTATTCCGCGGCAGGTATTTCCACTTGGCACAGTAAACTCACAATTTTTTAAAAAAGCAAGATAACAATATACCTGGCAATGAATTAAGTTAATTGTAGAGCTTTCGGAAAAATTTCACCATACACTTTTTCTGTCTTTCCTAACTTAAAATATTATGTATTTATTTATGCGTTCAATTTATCTTGATAACATTTGGATTGTAACTTTTTTGTTTTAAAAATATCAAGGTACATAAAAAACAAAAAAACTCACAATTTTCTCAGATCAGATCAGCATGAGAACACCCTGCATATTTTTTTCGGTATTCAATAGAACACGTTCTTCTGATTACTATTATATAACACATTTTATATTTTCTGCACTTGGCAAGAATAGCTAGCTGATTTTTATTTTATTACAACCTATAAATAAAAGATAATTTAAGGACTTAACTTAAGAAAGTTCAATATATTCACGTCAGTGATAGTGTCGGCAACGTGTAAAGATTTTTATTTTTTTCACCGAGTACTTACCCAATCCCGGCAACCAATATACAACACACTCTTTAAAGTAAAATAACTGTCTAAATAGTGTTTGAAATCAAAAAACATAAAATTAAACGCATGTATTGCATAATAACCAGAAAAAACACAAAACGAACAACACTGTCAAAAGTTTCTAAGCCAAAATACCTGCATTATTTATTCCAAGTTGGAAGAACTTAAGTTACAAAATATAATGCATCTATTATGAAAGTAATTTTTGATTTAGGAAATATATATAAAAAAAAGACACAAAAACCAAATTATGGTAAATAAATCTGGTGGATGCTCGGGTGTTTTGTAATTGGAGAAAACCTCAGCCAAGTTAAGTTTGGGTGCTACCAATCTGTTGCAAAACATTCGATTTTAGCGTTCAGCCTGCCAACATTCATTCCGCCACGAGCGGCTGCGGATGTCATAGCCTGTCTTGTTGTGTCTTGTTACCCATTGATCCATTGCTTGGAACGAGGCAGAATGGGTCGGTTTTTTAAAAGTTAAAAACAACCGTTTGTTATGTTCCGATCGAAAAGGCTTTATGATTTCAGGATAACGCGACCAAGTAGAAGCTATACAAAGCTCTGTTTCCTTAGTGAAAAAAGAAAATGAGAGAAATATTGGGATGTGAAGCTTTTAACATTTCTTAAATCATAAATCTAATATCGTTATAGTTCGTTGTCGCTAAAGTCTGAATTGAGAGTTGCTACCCTTAATGTTAATTCCGGAAGTGATAATGCTTCTATATTTTTGCCTATTTTTGCCATCTAAGAGTGTTAAAACTAGAGTAGGATCCCAGGTGCATTTGTGCTTCAGGAAAAACCCTTCATCGGTTAACGAAAACAGGAGAGCTATTGTTGAAGGCTTCAGAAAAACTATTTCAGAACACATAATCTACTTAAAGTGATCCACGTCTGTGGAGGCCACTATGGTACAGCTAATAATCCTGATTATTTTCTAAAATTATTTTGTTTAAAGCAAAGGAGCAAAAGTGTAAAAGAAATAATCTATCGTATTGACAATATATCCAGTGCGCAACAGTCTGGATCTTTATGCTACAACACATACTTTAAACATTAGCTTTAGTTTAGCAGCAAAATGGTCCAAGTTCAATTGAAAGCAACCGAACTCAATTCAAATCCAGTTTTAATGTGTAGGAAACGAGACTCGGTATCAGCTTCAACATTATCATTCCAGTTTCAAATCATGATTGTAATATGATTCAGGTGTTCATATTTCACTCTCCCCATTAGATTCAAGTTTGATATTGTTGTAGTGATAGCTATTAGATAATATAGTAGCCTTTTACGGTTAAATATGATGACTAAACATCGATTATCTTTCTAAATAGCGATATCTCAACACTTCACTCGTTTTCCCAAAACTTTTAACGAGATTTATGTATATTTTGGGAAAATGCTTCCGTTAAAATACCGCATCCAAATTTATTGACGATCTGCTAGCGGCCATGTTGGTTCTTGAATGCCACAAGGTCATTGATTAAAATCGACATTTTAAATCTCGGCATGCGCTGGTGGATGGACCTCAACTTTTTAATAGTTGATTAATAAGTTCCTGCATTATCGGCATATGCATGCCCCGCCCAATATCTGTAGGATCAATATGCTGTAGTGTTTGTCCATCGAAACAGTATTGAGCAATTGCACATTGTGTTGCAAAATATTTTGAGTTTCAAAGGGCAGCCCAAAGGTCTCAAATTTTTATGTGCTCTTTAGAATTAGACTATGGCCAAAAATTGGGTGTTTTTTCGCCTAGCGAATGCTCGCCAACCAGTTGTTAAAGCTTCGTCATTGAATATTTCAAAATCGCCTGTTGAAAATATAACTTGACCTTCGAATGATTTAATCCAGCAATTAGTATGTTGGCCCAATAAAACAGGAGACATTTGTCTTTCTAACGACGGTGCGGCCGGACAAATGAGTTGGTGAAGTCTCTAATTTGACCGTGAATCATTTTACTAATTCATAATAAGAGACTTAGAGTTTTAATAGTTTTATCCAATTGTAAAAACAACGACAAATCAATGGAATTAAAAATAATAACAAAATATTTCCACTTCTGAGAAGCCGTAACTTTGTTCATTCGTTTAAGATAAGAATATCGACAAGATATGTACATCTTAAAGTGTTAAATGGGTGATACGGGATTTAAAACTTTGGTAAGCAATTTGTAAAACTAATTACTGAACTATTGGATACTTTTCTAACTTAAGATGAGGATGTTTTATAAATCGGTTGTTTTAAATTTAAAATAAATCTTGGCGATCTATCAGGTCTTCCACTAATAAAAAAAGGGACAACTCTCCTTTTTCTTTTTTATGTATATCCATTGCCTCTTTATGCAGTGATGCAGTTCTGACATTCTGCAGTATTGCCTTGTTGCTCTGGAGAAAATACCTTAGGCTTTCTATTTTTTTAACTTTGTTATAGAAATATTGATATTTTCGAATCATTCACAGCGTTTAGGATAAACGAATTGTTTGTAATTTTGGTCCATGGTAAAGGGAAGTGTTTCGTTCTTCTCACTACTCGACGTACTTCTGCGGCCTCCGATGTTTTTTCCGCGTTCTTTGTTCCTCCGCTTGAAGTTTAATTATAAGAGTGCTTGATTTTTTCTCTTTGGAAACTTAAGTTGGTCAGTTGACTTGCCAATTTCCTGCGCTGCGCGGAAACATGTCAGCCCAACAGTTCTGGACTACTTTTCGCACACAATGTATGAGGCTGATGGATCGAGTCTATTAGGAAGGTCAATCGTTTTTCCGAGTCTATTTGGAAGGTCAATCGTTTGTCCGAGTCTATTAGGAAGGTCAATCGTTTCTCTAAAAGTTCACCAACAGCAGCGAATCGTTTGCAAAACGTAATTTGAATTTTAGCTAAAAAATTGTTTGTATTTTGCTTGTAATAAAATCGCATTTGCAAGCAATAAGACCTACATTTCATTTTTCCACCCTTGCATCATGTTAGTTCAGTAATTGTAGATATATGCTAATTAGTCACAGACTTTTATGCCCTACGAAAGTGTTGACCAATTAATTCAAAATTTTTTAAATATTAATTTAGACGACATTCAAAGTAGTAAACGTTTAACAATGTCGCACCATTCGATGGCAATCAAAAATTGTTAATTAGATTCACCACATCTTATGAGAACCTTTTATTAGTTTATTGGAGTGTAATCAATCAGGCTAACATTGCTATAATAATAATCCTAGACGCAATTAAAACTAAGCTTTGCGGTGAGTGGCAAATTTAATTTGTAGTCGGACTGAACTAAATTCTTAGCAAACCTTTAAAAACACAAACTGCTATCCAATTCGCCATGCGCATTCAAGATGGCAGAAGTCTTTTATTTTCAAAATAAATTTCAAAACCTCAAGAAGTTGCAGAAAGGAATATAAAAATAAGACATTACGATGATTTTGCATTAAAAACTTTTATCAACGACCTACGAACTAAAATTTAGACTAAGCACTCTCTGATGTCACCGAGGAAGAAAACTTCATATATTTTAAAACAATAACCTAGCAAATATATCATATTAACCTCAAGAAAGAATGAATCAAGTTTATACCAACTTTAGACCCTTTTTGAACCATATTCCTCAAATATCTACACAATTTTTTTTTAATTACAGACCAATTTTTAGGTCACCTCAAAATGCATCTTATAATAATTTTCCTTGTAATCCGAACGGAAAACAAATAATTGGAAAAAACATATTATGCCCCCTCAACAACATCAATTTTTCGCTAATGAACGTGCAAGCGCGATGTTGAGAAATGAAAATGTTTAAAAAAATAATCGACCAGAACCCATGGAAACAAGTTCAGAAAACACTAATGTCGTTCCTAAACCTAAATGCGTAGCCTAAGAAT